AGATTTAAGTATAATAATCTTGATAATATTATTATTACATCTAAAAACATTTATCCTATATACCAATAATTTAATTATATATTTTTACTATAAAACATTAATATTAAAAAATTGATTAATTATTTTATTAATAGTAATAATTACTATCTCATCAAAATTGAATTATAACAAATTCACCATCAGTTTGACCATCCATCTACATATAAATTCCATAAAATACTTAAATATTTTAAATATAATAAAAACTTTAAAGTAATTAAATAATTTATTAAATTTTATTATTATTATCAGATTTATAATAAATCACCCGATAAATTCAAATTCTCTTTACTCGATAAGAATTTTGAATTTAATTATACTATATTTATTGATATGCTTTATATTAATAATAATCCGATCCTACATATTATTAATAAAGCCATACACTTTCAAGCCGCTTAATAACTAAATAATATATCTATAAAGTATATATAGAATAAACTCTATAAATACTAAATCGATATATATATTAGTTTATCAAAATATATTATTTATAATACTAGTACCAACTTTATTGAAAAAGAATTTTAATAATATACTATATTAATATTCATTTAAATAAAAACAATTTTTTATAGAAATATATTATTTAATTAATATTATTAAAAGATTTTATATACTATTATATAAATCTTACAAAATTTTTTTTAAAAAAGTTTATAAATTTGGTATTTATAAAGCAACTATACTTTAAATAATTATAAAGATAATTAATAATATTACTAAATCTGATAGTTTAATACCTATATTACTCGTTTTTGAAATATTTCCTTATATAATTGATATCAGTCTTTCAACATTTATTATTTAATAGTATACTATTACAATCTCTAAAGCTATAATAGAGGTTTATAGATTATATAATTTTATATAAATACAAAAAATCTTAAATATATATAATAAACCCTTTACAACTATACTTCATGATTTATTACTAAATAATAAGATTTTAATTTAAAAAGAGAATAATAGAATAGTTATTAATAAATAAAAAGAATCTTTTTTATTTATTAATATAAAAAGGAAAACATATACTTTTAATTTACTTTATAAATCTATAAAATTTAGATTTATATTAGTAAAGTTATATTATAAGTAATTAGAAACTGAATATATTAAAAAGGTTAAGGAAATTAATTATAATATTGATCTCAAAATAATTTTACCAAAATCTAACAAAGTTGTATTACCTTTTCCAGAATTTTCCAGAAGTAATAGTTATACGTATAATAAATCTAAAAAAACCCCTCTTGGATTTATTCAAAAATGATTAGATTTTTATTCCGATATTTTTTCTATAAATAATTATATCTCAGATTCGAATTTATATACAAGATTATCATTTCGAATATTTTATTGCTAATCCCAAAAATCCCATCCTATATAAAGAATTCAGAAAAAAAAAGATTAATGGATTGATAATTAAAGGTGTATTCAAAATTATATCATTTTTAAATATTCCTTTTAGTATATGTATTTTCAAATTGCGATTTATTGATAAAATTAAAAACAAAAAAACAGATATTGAATTTTGTAAATCGAAATTAGTCATTCAAGTATATAATAATATTAATAAAATATCTATATTAATATAATCCCCAACAATTTAATAATCATATTAATATATTTTAATCTTATTAATTACAAATACTCGAAAGATAGGCATAGGAGTATATATTCGAAATATTACTTAAACATATACTTAATTCACTTCGAACTTGTATTGTACTTTTTATATCTATACTCTAAAAGAAATAGATTTACCAATTAATATGATTTTATTAATTGTTAAATCATTATATAATGTTCCTGAGGCAGGAAATCATTAACTCCGGATATGTTATATCTATTACTGCGAAAAGCTTAAGATATAGTAATCTATATATAACCTTTATTTTTTGTATATTAATAATAAAAAAATTGGATTCGATATTATAGAATTTTAAATAGATAATATATTTATTGTTAGGAATAATGTATTTATATAAACTAAGAATAAACAACTCAAGTAGACTGACTTTATAACTAAAAATCGCAAGGAATTTATTTACAATCATTTATTAAAGTTTAATGGTGTTATTTTTATATTTAAGGATAATGATATTCATTTCGATTAAAAGAAGTAATACAATAATTTACAGCTCGTATTTACAGAATCTATAAATATATATGGTACATATGGTAAGATTCGGAAGTATATTTTTATATGAGAATAGTATATTGTACAATAAGCTCATAAAGTATATATTACAATTATATATTAATCCGAAGTATCTTTCAATCTGTTTATAGTAATATAGATAACTTAATCCGGTAAGAATAATATTGTAATATTGAATAAGCATATCAAATAACAAAAAGAAAACTTTACTAAAGGATTCAAATATATACTATTTGATCTAGATTCATTTAAGATTATTATTTTTACTAATATTTTTTTTGCAAATAATAAGAACTATTCGTTCCAAATAGATTATATGATTGTAATAATAGATAAATATAATAATACTAATATTATTCATTAATCATTTATCAAATATAAGAGAATTATATATAGTGTTTTAATATTCGAATTATACGAATTAGTTCAGGGATTCGATATCAAAACAATAATTATTTCTATAATTAGTGCTATTCTCGATAAGGAGATTCTATTAATTTTGTGTACTGATTTCAAATCACTATATAATCTACTTATTAAACTGGGAATGATTAATGAAAAGAGACTAATAATTAATATTATAATATTATATCAATTTTATGAGCGAAAAAAGATTATTGAGATAATTTAGATTAATAATTCGATTAATCTGGTCGATACGATAACAAAAGGAAAATCGTATCAAGCTCTTTCTAATCTGATCAATACGAATAAGATTGATATTAAGGTAATAAAATGGGTAAAACAGGATTAAAGGAAGGAATTGGTTCTACCAATAAAAGGTTAAGAATTTTAACCAGTAGATAAAGGATTTTTATAATTTTATGAATTTCTTTTCAATCATTATATTTAAAGCTATAAAAAAAGAGTTCCGAATATATAAATAAGAGAATTCATTTAAAGAAATTTACTTCAAAGGATTCACTTCAATACAATAGTAATTGTATTAACGGTATTAAGCGAAAGCGAAGGAGATTAGTTTTTTCAGTAATATCTACATAAGACCTACTATTTCCCTCATTTAGCTAGCTCCTTAAATTGAATACAAATAGATATTTAGAGGCCTACATATAGTGGGAACCACATCTTCCGTATCTCTCTTAAACCAACAAAAACTTCTCTCTTTAGAAGAAAATAGAAAAGAAAATGAAAGGAGAGAAAATAAAAGGAAAGAAAAGAAAATAAAAATAGGAAGAGGATATCAATAAGTATTCTTCAACCTATTAACCTATAAACATATCTACATATTATATACTATATCCCATAGAGTACGTATTTTCAACACCCTCGCTTAATAAATATCTTAATGACTAATCAAAATATCAAAATATTTGAAATTTAATTATATATTCACATTCAATCTTCAATATAAAATCTTTTTAATATTATCTTTATTTCGAAATTTTGAAAATAATAATATATATTAATTTCGAATCTTTTTTTTTTTAATCTTTTTTAGAAAACTATATTTTGAAATCAAGATTTCTATTTATAAATAAAGTGATTAAAAAAGTATTATAAAAATCAATCTAATTAATCATATTTCTTTATACAAAATATATTACACGAACTATAATGAACGCCATTTTCCTGTACTCTAGAGAATAAATATATTTATATATCATATATTATATATCATCTATACTACGAAAAATATAAAACTCTCGATAAGTTCCTCCCAACCTACCTACCAACATACCAACCATATACAGCACAAAGACCCCAAAACTATCTATCCATCATCATCCATTGTCCATCATCCACTATCCATCTACAATTTACACTTCACATTTCACACTTTACGCTTTACACTTTACAATTCATACTTCACACTTTACAAATTCACACTTCACACTTCACACTTCACACTTCACACTTCACACTTCACACTTCACAAATAAAATCTATCATCCATCTACTTCCCATAAAATCACAAATTCACAATTCACAAAACCAAAATCAAAATCCAGAATCATGTAAATTTAATTATAATTTCAATTTCTGTAATCTCTCTCTCTTCCTCTCTTCCTCTCTCCCTCTCCCCCTATGTATCCGTAGGTCCAAGAAAAAGAAGAAGAAAAAAAGATCAACTACTATCAAATCACCTCCCTTCCTTCCTCGAACGCCATTTGCCCAAATTTCATTTTCCTCCAAACGCCATTTCCACCCTATCCCATTTCATCCCATTCATTTCATTTCATTTCCAGGAGGCCAAGAAAAGAAAGTGAAACAAAAATAGACTCCTTCCTTTCAATCAAAAAAAGAGAAAGAGGAGCCAACAAAAAGACATTCCAAAAGCACCCCCATTTCCCAAATTCCGGATACGCCCCCAACCATGAACTCAGAATCTTCCCATTCTTCGTCATGTATGCGTGTACTTTTGTCAAACCATCAAATATGGTGACCAGATCCAAACCCTCCACCCCCTCATAGCGCCTTTTGCATGGATATACGCCCCCACCATGCATGAGTTTATTTCCATTGTAATCATGAATTTTTTGAAAAAAGAATTCGGCCCAGGATTTTGAAACCAGTCCATGGAATATTAGAGGTAAGAGTAGAATATGTATAAGGAAGAAAAGGGTGATGGAGATCATACCGATATGCTTTACTTTCACCCAAAGGAAAAGCAAAATGGGGTTTTAGATCCAAACGATCTATGAAGTACAATCGAAAGAAGAAGTGTTTTAATTTACAACCTAGAGGTAATTGTATATTCGTGACATCGGAAGGCCAAGCGAATACAATGCGCCTTTTGATAATCCATAACTGCGAGTGGAAATGTAAGGACCGTAGTCTATTACATGTTAGGATTTTGAGATGGAGGCATTGAACCTAAACCATATGGATTTTGTGATTGATGCATTGGTGGCATATCATCGTAGAGAGGAGGAACGACATATTGTGCGATTCCTTGTTGAATACCAATAGGAGTATCCTTGTGAGCGAAAAGCATGGTTTTGAGTTGCATAATTTCATGAGCCATTTGTTGAACTTTTTGATGAAGAGTCTCATTTTCGTTGGTGTACGAATCGACTTTACTCTGTAAGTTGTTCAACCATTGCTTCTTACGCTGTCTACATTTAAGAGCAGCAACCCTAGGAAATTCGTTAGCGAAAAAAACAGTGCAAGGAAAGGAGAAATCTACCTGTTTCGTTCAAGGAAACTTTTTCGCTTTTCATCTTCAGTTTCTGGTTTCTTTGGTTTACCATTGTTGTTGTTATTATTATTCTCTTCCTCTTCAAACTCAAGTTGGTCATCCATGTTATCTAGATCTTCATTGGTGAATTCTTCTGGTTTCGAATCATCACTACCCTTTTGAGATTTGGTCCTCTTGTTGTTCTTTGGTGGAGTTTTGTTGGTGCTTGCTTTCCTTTTGGTGGCTGCTCTCTTCTTTCCTTGACCACCTTGACCATTCATATCATTATCATAAGGGAGACCATTACCATTACTTGTAGGGCTCATTGAATTTGAGTGAATGGAATTGTTTCTCGTTCCAGAATGACCATTGGTCAAAGAATGATTGTTTGGTCGACCAGGTACTTGACCATTAGTTTGAACAGGTTGCATATTTTGATTCAACATTTGGTGATTGCGATTCAAGATATGTTGTTGTGCAGAGAATGGCGGTTGCCTCGATTGACCCAATGCGAGATTGTGGTGTGGTGAAGAGTCGCGAGATGAGGCGGAAGTTTGAGTCAACAATTGAAGACTTGCGGCTGCATTCAAAGAATCATTGTCAGGATAATTACTCATGACATTATGATTATCTTCGTTGTGTTGTTGAGGTTGTGAAGTAACATTCATATCTCTCTGTTGTTGGGCAGCAAGACTCGCAGCTTGAATAGCCGTTCGTTGAAATTCAGCCAATCCAGGTGTTTGAACAGCTCCAGCTCCAAAACTATATCCACCAGGGCTTGGAGTTGGTAACACCCTTGAATGCATACCCCTCAAATCAGATGTGACGGGAGTGTAACCTCTTGGACCATCACCAATCAAATTATGATCTCCGGAGAAGTAATCTTCGGCAGGTTCTTTAGGACCAGTGAGCATATTAGGACTCAGTGGGCCAGACCTTAATCCACTCAAGCCAAAACCAGGTGAAGATGCTGATTGTAAAGCTTGAATGGAAGGTAGTAAGGTACCACCAGGAGTTTTGGCAGGTAGATTCGATTTCACCGGACCACCTCCAAATTGGGAGTCAAAAGGATTTTCTTCCTCTTCGTGTGAATTATTTGCCAACGCTCGCTTTGATAGGTAGTCGGCAATATTGTTTTGTGGGGGTACAGGTATATTTGGTAGTTGTCGACCGACATCCAACTGAACTGGCTTCACCGTGATATCTGGTACTGATGAATCGGCGGCTATATGAGAGAGTGATGTTAGTTACTCAGTTACACCTATGTATAGCATATCATTTTTTCAGATGGAGGAGATGGAGGAGATGGATGAGAAGTATCAAATGTATCAAACCCATCCGATGAATTGAATTGAATTGATCGATGATGATAGAATGGAATAAAGCCAAAAGAAAGACTCGACGTGATGACTAGGGATGGTTGGATTGAATTGAATACTTGCCTGGTGGTAAAAATTTCTCCTCTACAGGACTACTGCCGATCTTGGAAAAGGTCGGCATGATGATGAAATGTAGAAAAGAGGACGACTAGTAAGGAAAAGAAAAAAGTAAAAGATGTTGAACGACGACGTAATAATGGATTAACCTTGATGCCGTTGAGATGGAGAATTATCAAAAGAGGTTGGCTAACAAATATCGTTAATCGTATCGTGTTGCTGTGCAGTTTACACGATGATGACGATATAATGACGAAGGTGGGCGGACTATTTAAAGGACTTGAGAGTGTCAATAGTGAATGAGTCGTCCGCCTATCGGGTGAATGGGTCAAATTGGCGTTCGCAGTAGTGTGGGAGTGTGGGTTATGTGGTGTTTGATGTTGGATTGGGTTGTTCTGTATCTTGGTGGCGGGTAGATTTATTCCTTGGTGTGAAGGTTGTTAAGAAGAGGATAAAGTCCAATCCCAACTCTTACTAGTCGCGTTGTTATTGTTGATGTTGTTGATGTTGTTGTTGTTGTTGTTGTTGTTCTTTATTGATTGATTTCTCGATATTAGAAAAGAATCCTCGATGATATGGATAGTTTTTGGTGGCGACGTGTTTGAGGTTGTGTGTATGTGTGTATGTGTGTGTGGGCGTGTTGTATTGTATTGTATTGGCAAGTATTCTGTTTCGTCGTATTGCGCGATTACGATTTGTTTTGCTCAATGTCTGTGTGTATGTGTTTTTTTCTCTCGCGACTCGACTCGACTCGACTTGACTTGACTTGAGGTTATCTCGGTCGAATTGAATTGTGTGGATTCGTTGATGGATGAATCACAGCAACAGGATGAATGGATAGATGGATGAATGAATATGATGTCAGTGTATCTCGTGGTAGGAGATACCTCTCTGATACCTTATCTTGTTGAGATGGATATTCGAATATCGAAACACGGGCCGGGAAGAAAAGAAACTTTCCAAGATGTGTTAATACTCTTGGGAATTTTGACTTTGGATTTCTTCCGATTTCCCCAATGTTCAAAGGTTCGAGGGTTTCGATGGTTGAGTGATGAATGGTGAATGGATGGGATGTAGCGGTGACGTAACGTTTCTTGGGGGGAAAGAAATGGATGGATTTGGATTGCGAAAAAAAAAAAAAGTGATGAAATTTAAATTTGCGACGGGTGGGTGGGTTTATGGTGCAGGTGGTTCAAAATGGAAGTCCTTCCCTCTTCTATTGTGGCCCGTTTTCCCTTTCTTGTCTTTTCTCTCCTCTCTTCTGTCTCCTGTCTTCTGTCTTCTCTTGTCCCTTTTTCTTAACAAAGCATTCGGATGAAGACTCGAAATCAAACACGAATTCAAAATCAGAGATACGAGAGGTCTCTTCCTTGATCAAAAAGACGGACCAAAAGGAAAATAGCAATTAAATCGATAAATTGATATTTTCTCCTTTGAATGAAGCGATTAATTAATAATTGATGAGGCTCTGCTGGAAAATAAAGTTATGAAATGGAATTATTCGAGTCGAGGCTTAAATTATTCGACGTCTTCTCCTCTTGGTGTTTGTTGTGTACTTGGAATACGATACCGGTACGATACAGATACGATGATGTGGTAAGAAAGTTGCAGGAAAGAGAGGAAAAAACGATGACGAAAGATGATGATGACGCTTGATGTGAACTCTTTGATTTATTTGGGGATGAGAGTGCCTTCACATTAGCGTGCTGGAGATTCACAACCAATCAAATCTTTTTATTGCAGATGTTGCTCCACTTTAGTTCATGTGCGTGCAAGTGACACTATTCCTCTTTCATGTCCCATCATCTCCTTGATGAGAAAGAAAGATGAAAATGGTGTGAATGACTAATGAAGTAATGAATGGTGAATGATACGGTGAACGACAAAGACAGGAAATCTCGAGTCAATTCGCCAAGAGATTTCCAGGAGATATCATTTTACTTTCATAGACATTCGAGTGATTCAATACACGTGCACTGACTAATGACTGAAGACTGATATTAGGTAATCAATGTCAATGTCAAATGCCAAATGGTGCGATATCGGAATGATCCATACGAAGTCTCATATTTATGATAACCTCTTAATCTATTTTATATGTATTTAAAATACTGATGGAAATACACACAAGATAAATACCTACCTACCTAAACAATTCAAAGCAAACAATCCTATCCATCCATCTCCCTATCCACCTCCCTAGATAAGAAAAAAGTCCAGTCCGATCCTTCAATAGCTAGGTAATCGCACCAATCTCCTCTACACTTTACACTCACTCACACTCCTCGGTAACAACAATGTGGCAAAGTACCTACCTACCTATCCTTCGTGATTTCATTCCATTCCTCCTCATTACGGTAACCCATTAAACATCAACATTCACCCACCCACCTACCTACCTATCTCTACATCACGTGCTCCATTCTCTCACTCGAGTCTCATACTTCGTATACCTGAGTATATCAGTATACTATCTACACCCAACCATTCCATTTACTTACTACTAGGTACCTACCTACGCTCATCCGCTTCTCATCAACAAGGTAATTATCTCCGACCAACTAATCACGTAATCAATCAATCCAGAAAAAATCAATCGCTACGGAATACTAAGGGAAACTATCTATCGATCAAGCATTTTGTATCATTGATCCTGCAAATCACGAATTTGGATCTTCTTACGAGTATTATTCATATTAATAATTAGAGTAGACCTTCCTTTTTGATCAGTTAGCTTGAAGAGTATTACCTAATCATCAAATAATGGATTTGGGTCATCCGAGTATTTTCGCTCTTGAGAATTATATACTGATATATTAGATAATCCTCTTAATTTTGTATACTTCTTTCTACATTCTCACTCTCTCACTAATACACAACAAATCATAATATATACAAACTAAATATTTTTACACCTCCCAACTCACCATGCAATCCCATTCCCATTTCCCGTCCCCTCGTCTCACACTCCCATCCCACAACAAAAAGCAAAGAGGAAACCCTCAAAGTCTCGCCCCCTTCCCTCCCACCCCCCGAATCCTAAACCCATATCTGGGAGTATGAATCTTCACCTTCACCCCCTCCCTCGTCCGCGACTCAACCACAATTTCCTTTGTAGAAAGTCCCACCAAAATCCCCCTATCCCTGCTATTCATCCCCGTATCAATTGGCCAAACCTCGACTTCCTGTCCCCTATGCAATCCCGTCGGATCCTGCGTATCAACACATTCATCATTTTCTACAAAATCAGACGCGCTCACTTTTTCAAGCACTTCTGCTCCCGAGAGAACCGTGGGCCGGGGGAGTTTCCTCGCAGCGAGTCGAGTGGCGTGGTCGAATCGCGCAATCCATGCAAAGCTTCTGGGGAATTGTTGCGCGGAAATGTAGTCTGCGGGCAAGGCACCAGGTAAGGTAGTTAACCAATGGAAGGGCCAAACAGCTAGCATCACGAGTCAGTATCATTTTTCACATCTCATCTCATCTCATCTCTCCCTCATCACCACCCTCCATACCTTCAATATCCGCCAACATAGGCCCCTCACTCCCCAAAATCCAGTCCCTCCCATCCCCCAAAAAGCCACTCTCCAAAAGCTCAAACGCCCCCTTAAACGCCGCCAACGCTTCCGGTCTCGCTTTTTCCAAACTCCCCCTCTCCCAACTCTTCCCCGTGTAATCCTCCCGATCACTCGTAAACTTCTTATCCCCCAACAACGGTAAATCCAGCGGTAACAACTGCGCCGCGCGCAAAAGCAATCCCTCTACCGTCCATATCTCCAACAATTTCTCGATCCCCTTCTGCTCCGTCGACGCCGCTGCGATCTTCGGATAATCGGGAAACAGTTCCTCCAATTTGCGCAAGATTAATCGCGTGTCGTGGTAAATGTCACGACCGATAGATACGATAGGGATACGTCGATATTGGGTTCCGAGAGCTTGGATGTCGGGTCGTGGCATGGTGGGGGCTTGGAGACATTCTGAATAGGGGATTCCGCGGAGAGTGAGGTACCATGTTATTCTTTTGGGGTGTTAGGAATTGGGGGTTTGAATGGGATGGGATGGGATGGGATGATAGATGAAAAATAGATAGATGAAAAATAGATAGATAAATAAATAAATAAACAGCTATATAAATACCTCTTAGCAAACGGCGAAAATCGATAATGAAATACAATGATCTCGGGATGCTGCATCGACGTCATGGTGAAACTATGCTGCAGATATCAATATCAGATATCAATATCAAATATGTAAGAAAAGTTTGAACTTCAAAGTACTTGTATGTGTCTCAAAAAATGAAGTAGGTGATGTAATCGCAAACCCCTACTGGTAGATATCGTAGATGGATAGGTAATTCGATTTATGATCAATCAATCAATCAATCAATCGATCCATCTATCAACTTGGATTTTGATTTTGATTTTTTCGTGAGTGATTAAGTAATATAAGAGTAGGTAGTAATAAAGTAAAGAACCAAACAATCAAAATCTCCCAAACCCCTCACCCACTCACCCTCTCAACTCACTCCAGATCCTCAAGCTCAAGCTTGATTTAACCTTACCCCGAGCGCCAAAATGCGGAGATGCATGTGGAGATGTAGCTGGGGTGCGGATACCGAGGTTCGGGGTTGTTTTATGATTTGATATATCGTATGAGTATGGATGCGAGATTCTTCGGACGTTTCTCCGCTGAGGTCTCTGTGGGTAGATAATATACAGAGATGTACTCCGTAGATGTGCTGTTTTAGATGAGGATGTAGATAAGGATGTTTGTATGGAGGTTTTTGTATGATATTGTCGTGTTTTATATCTTGATTCTTAGGGTTGTGGAGAGTACTGGTATGGATGGTAGTATTGTGTTTGTTTATTTATTGTGATGAGTTGAGGTGAGGGGAGTTGAGTTGAATTTATTTATTTTATTTTCCTATTTATCTATTTATTCATCTATTTATTCATCTATTTATTCATCTATCTAAATACTCTAAATACAAAAGAAAAAGACAACCTCTGAAAAATATAAATCTAATAATCAAATCATTCTCAGATATGATTTTCTAGCAAATATACTCTCCAAATAGGTATCTATATATATCTAAATAGTATATTAGTAATTTTCATATAATCTTACTACTCGTCTAGAGTATGCAGGGGAAAAGGTGTTTATTTTACTTGATTTCACGATTTGTATTAAGATGTATATTTATGATTGTAATTGTATTTCCTTATCTATGATTATCTATGACTGAGAATTCGATTTGATTAGGATGTATTTAAATTTGAATTTGAATCTGAATGCTGCCCCCGCGCTGCTCAGAATTGAGGTCTGCGGTTTTTTTGGGAGGGGAGGGGGGTGGATAATTCCAGGCTCTCTTCTTTTGTCCCTAGTTGAGATGAGAAGAGAAGGCAGAGGAGGGGAGAATTTAATCGATGCTGAATGATTTCGTCTTGGTGTATATAATACATACAGATAGTATTATGCATGTGGTTATTTTTAATAACTTGAGATGTTGTTCGATATGTTGGCAGATAGATAGATAGGTAGGTATTTTGGTATTTTTCTACTATTGGAATCTGCGAAGATAATGAGCAAAGGAGAGAAAAGATCGGTATAATTATGTATACTACTGATTGTGTGGGTATGTATGTATGTGGATACTTCATATAAATCTGTGATGAAGCATGGAATTGATGGTTTCGAGGTGATATCTGGATGCTGGTGTTCTGGAACGCGGGTTTGGTTTTTGGGAGGGTTGGGGTGTTTGAAGTAATAGGGGGAAAGGGGGAGGAAGGAGAATGGATGTGGTTAGGTATGGTTGGAGATTAAATCGTAGGGATTCTGCGGGCGAGGGATGTGGGATGTGGAATGGGTGTGGAACGGAAGTGATGTATTCTCTCTGTTGGGCTTATGATGTTGTGATTGAGATGTGCTTTATTGATTTTCATCGAGCGGAAGGTGTTTAGGGGAGGAAGAGAGGTTGATGGATAGATGAATGAGAATCAGAATAGGATGAAAAGAAAAGACGTTATGAATGAATCGAACGTGTGGTTTATCTAGCTATAAATGATATGCAGAACGGGACGTCAAGTGATTACATCTGTATTTACTCATTCTTTCCTCCATTTTTCTTTCGGTAACGTGTGTTTACATCGATATCTCGAAACTACAAGTTTGGTAATAGGATTCCTTTCTTCATATTCTTTGCCTTTTCCTTTACCATTCTCTGTACTCGCGATTAACTGAAATCTTTCTACCAGATTTGCGGACCATGTGCGAGAAGTATTGAGCCAATTACCAGGCATTCGATCGTGGAGTCTGAGTCTCAGTTTATAAACATGGTGATTGGGAATACAGTAGGAATATATATGTAAATTATTAAGAAGTTGAGAGGTGAAGTTGAAGTTAAGCGAGGAATTTTGCGCCAAGTAATATTAGAGAGTGAGGTTGATAGATCACTGTAAGAAGGGTGGTTTGGGGGCTGTAAAAGATTTCTGAATATCGTGCTCGATTTATCAGTGATGAATTCAACAATGATTGTCAGTTACGACAATCTTGTAATAGCACCCAATTTGTCGGTCGTTTTATCGTTTTGCGGTGTACTGAGTTCGTGCTGGATGGAGCCCGAGTCTGAGGAAAATAAGTGAACGTTTGAATAATGTTGTTGATTTCGGATGTAAAATGTGAGCTGATGATTCTGGATGCGTGAATAGCAATAGAAACCGCATTTAATGAGAAAATATCTGGCTAGAAAGAAGAAATGTCTCGTCTCACTGGTCTCGCGAGACTTCTTTTCAAACTTTTTTCTGGCGCGGCGCTAACCTCGAAGAATTCGAAGTGAACATAGTATATAGTTTCTCGCATCTTTCACAAACGGTCCAGAGTCGAGAAGAAAAGCAAAAGGATAGCAGTATAGGTATTAATCTTATAGACGATATGGAGGTGAAGGGAGGGGATCTGCGTAACGGAGCGGGGTGGGAGAATTGGTGAGGGTAAATTGGGTAAATAGTGCACCTTGTATGACCAAACTAAGCGGCGATACTTAGTTGAGTTGAAGTTAATGGAAATTTACATGCGATAATCACGGGCTTTGCAGAGATGTGGGGTTCTTGAATGGGTCTGGTTTCTAAATGGTTCTATCATCTATGTTTGCAGATACTTCAGTCTGAAAATTGCTTGAGGCTGGGAGTGTTGATGATAACTTAGCTCGGACAGATGGATATGACCTGTACATCACAAGCTCATGGATTTAACACAAAAGTGGGAAGATTTCATCAAAGAAAAAAACGGTGATGAGTGGAATCGTAAGTAAATGAACAGATTTATCTTGTTCTACGTGGGATACAAGCTTTTTTTTACACGAAACTAATACATGCTTGGTGGCTCACATTGCAGGTGAAAATTTGGTGAATGTATATGAGGATGCAAGAAAGAGTTGCTTGTTAGGCGTTGGAGTATGACTTATATAGAGGCAAGGGCTTTAGAGGAAGGGTCAAGTAAGAAACGGGCGAGAAGGGTGAAAGGGCTAAGAGTATGGATAATTCATCATCGGCATCACGCAAGCCATATTCTGACCATTCAAAATATACTGGGCCTCATCGCAAATCACAGATAGATCAGATGTAGCAAAGACGCATTTTCGCTCATGCCCCGTAGGGACTTATTCTCTGGTATTTATTTGAATAGATACGGAGATGCCAAAAGAAGGGAGAGACGAAACGGAGACAGCGGCAGAGAAATTCCGAGCTCAAGCCGCTATTGAATATTAGTTATATAGTTATCAAGGAACGAATCAAGACTTACAATTAACGAATGGGGAGCCATATGTGGCGGGCGCTTTGAAGAAAAGAGCGTCTATTACTCATTAGATAAACACATAGAGTATCCATATGTACATTCAAACTTACTGTACCATATGGTAAATCTTCTTGAGGCCACTTTTGAATATTAGTTATATAATTATCAAGGGACGAATCAAAACTTACCATAAGCGGATGGGGGGCCATATGTAGCAGGCGCTGTAAAGTTATAAATGTCTATTACTCATTAGATAAGCACATGGAGTATCCATATGTATATTCGAACTTACTGGCATGGAGGTGAACCATTCTCGAGTGGAGCATCCACTGACGCTCCGAGAGGCACGGTTCTTCACCCGGAGGGGTAGAATTGAGAATACGACGTATTTCCTCTAGTTCCGACATAATTTTCTATTCATACAGTTAGTAGTGCTTTAAATAATTAGAGTTGGGTTGAAGAACGTGAAGACAAAAGATAACGACGGGACTTGGATATCTGGGTGAGGATGGAAGAATTAGACGGTCTTGGACAATCAAACTGTCTAGAACAATTAATTTAACAATTGTAATATGCTATAGTCATCCTTAAGTAACACGGGAATGTATCATCAAAAGCCACGAAGACTCCAGACTCTTCGCACAGACCCAGGTTTCAGAGAATTCTAGAGACAAAAGAATGATCATTGTTGTGTACTATTAGGGGAAGAAACGGTTTGAGACAGTGATCAATAGTCATTGAGATAAAGCAATCTGGCCCATCTGCTGAAGTGTCTGAAAGATGGGTTTGAAAATGGACTAGGATACCAAGGAAACCAACTCAAGGTGGTGAAAAGATTCTTCGAAAGTAGCAAATTGTCTTGTATGGAACTGACAAACAGCTTCATAACTCTTGACGTGGTTTTAATCCATCTAAAAACAGTGCATTGAAGTGGTTTTCTGGTCTTCAAGTATGTGACACTCTTCGAAGAGGATAAGAGCTGATAGCAGGCTCTATTCTGCTTCAGATTGTAGCTTTGGTGAGATATCCAGTAGCCATCTGCGAATAACACCACCAAAGACTCCATGCATGCCAGAATATGGCAGACTGTATCTGAAAGAAATGAGCTGAAGGTGCTGATATTCTTTAAGAAGGCCAGGACAATGTGTCAATCTTTTGTATTCCTT